CTATAGTCATCTTTGATGGCGGTTATTTATTTTCAGGGTTTGGGGACCTTCTGCGGAGAGATCTGTTATTACACAGGTCTGCCAGTGTGAAATGCAGCCCTCGGTATTTAACTATCATGCATCATGAAGAAATCTTCTCTGGTTATGACTTTTGGGGCTTCTAAGTAACTTGTTAGCCTGAATGTCCATTTATTTCTTTCCATGAATTTGGGGATTTTTCTCCTATAATTCCATTGAATTTATTTTCTATGCCTTAAGTTTTGATCTCAACTCCTTTTGATACTCATAGGTTCTTAGGTGTGGTCTCTTGATTATGTTCAGAGTTTTGGGAAGGTGTCCTGCCGGCTTCTTTATATTTCTTTAATGATGTTTGAATGTAGTGTTCCCTGGAGTCTGTCTTCCCTCCCTGACAGTTTTTCTCTTATTTTTCTAATCTGTTGGTGATGTTTTTCACTGTGATTTTATTTGATCCATTGGGTTTTTCACTTCTAACATTTATTTGCTTATTTATTTTTCAGAATCTGTTTCCTTCCTTAATTTCCACTCATGCTGCTGACTTTTTTCCTCCAGGTCCTGATTAGCTTCCTCCTCAACTGCGTGGAAATGTAAAATAAAATAAACTGTTTCCTCCCCAAGTTGCTTTTGGTGTTTGTTTGTTTTTTTTAAAGATTTATGTATTTATTATGTATACTATGTTCTGCCTGCGCTGCAGGCCAGAAGAGGGCACCAGATCTCATTATAGATGGCTGTGAGCCACCATGTGGTTGCTGGGAATTGTACTCAGGACCTCTGGAAGAACAACCAGTGCTCTTAACCTCTGAGCCATCTCTCCAGCCCCACTTTTGGTGTTTTATTACAACAATAGAAGCCCTAGGCCGGGCGGTGGTGGCGCACGCCTTTAATCCCAGCACTTGGGAGGCAGAGACAGGCGGATCTCTGTGAGTTCGAGGCCAGCCTGGGCTACCAAGTGAGTTCCAGGAAAGGCGCAAAGCTACACAGAGAAACCCTGTCTCGAAAAACCAAAAAAAAAAAAAAAAAAAAAAAAGAAACCCTAAGACAAGAGTTGGTGTCAATACCAGTGGTACTGCTGTGATGGATGCCAATTCTGGGGTACTGCTGTGATGGATGCCAGTTCTGGGGTACTGCTGTGATGGTGCCAGTTCTGGGGTACTGCTGTGATGGATGCCAGTTCTGGGGTACTGCTATGATGGTTGCCAGTTCTGGGGTACTGCTGTGATGGTTGCCAGTTCTGGGGTACTGCGGTGATGGGTGCCAATTCTGGGAGTACTGCTCTGATGGTGCCAGTTCTGGGGGTACTGCTGAGACAGACCAGAGCAGTGTGTTGGGAAGTATGGTGGTGACCTTTTAACTTGGGGCTAGGAAGGCCACTGAGTGAAGGTTATGATCTTCAAGACCATGAGTGAAGCCCAGATGCTCAACACTGAGCTTTTCACACCACTGAACTTGGATTTTTCTTTTGTTTGATTGTGACCGTGGCCTGTTTCTTCTCTTTTAAAGGAAGAAAGCACCTGGCTTAATTTTTATTTTTACAAGAGCCCACATTTAAGAGACTTTGGAATTTTCCAGAAACTGAAATTTTAAAGAGACTGAACTTTTAAAGTGTTTGAATTTTTAGGGACTGTAGGGTTTTGGTTTTTTTTAAGTTACAATGTGTTTTATGTTTTGATACTGATATCATAAGATATGAGGTTGAACAAGAAAGGAAAGGTAATGGTTTAATAGTGGTGCATTAGTGTGTCAAGTTCACCAAGAGTCAATTGTCCTGATTCGTTTTTTTGTCAGCTTGACACAAGCTAGAGTCATTTGGGAAGAGAGAACCTCAACCGAGAAAATACCCGCAACAGATCAGCCTGAGGGCATTCTTCTGGGGCATTTTCTTAATTAGTGATTGATATGGGATGGTTCAGTCCATTTTGGGTGGTTTCACCCTTGGGTAGGTGGTCCTGGGTTTTATAAGAAAGCAGGCTAAGCAAGCCATGAAAATCAAATTAGTAAGCGGCGCTCCTCCATGATCTCCACATCAGTTTCTGCCTCCAGGTTCTGGCCTTGAGTTCCTGCCCTGATTTCCCAGGATGGTGGACTGTAACCTGTAGTGGGTAGCCATTCCAGCTTGGATCTGGAAGTTCCAACCCCCACTGAGACTCTGGCAACTGTCACGCCTATGAGGTGGGGCAAGGGGAGGCGCCTGGAGACCAGAGAGCTGGATGGGCCAGCGCTCTCTCTGTGCCGGGACGCTGACCAGTGGAGATTGATTGTGCAGAACTCTGGAGAACACCGCTGGACTGCGTTACACCTTCCCCAGACCCTGTGACCTACCCATTACTTAATTTGTGAGTTACGCCATTAAATAAATATCCTTTTAACTACATAGAGTGGCCAAAATAATTTCTCCAATATCCGTTCTTCACTATACATTTGCTTATAGACTGTTTACCTTGTTTACGTGAAGCCTTAGTCCTTAGGTTATTTTGGTAGATAAGACTTATAGATTTATAGTCACCTATGCCTGTCATCTCTATAGTTACATTAGTTAGGTTATCCAGATTTACAGATACATAGGTCAGATGGACAGGTAATCTTCAAACACTTCATAGACCTAGAGAATATGGCATTTAAATAACTTAGAATTCAGTTGACGTGAGACACAATTGCTCCTGGCTGCACCAATTGATCCCGGGAGAATGTTGGGCTTCTAAGACATTTCCATTTGGAAGTTTGTCTTCTTGGCACAAAATGGCCTACTGGGCAAAGAACTGCCCTTGCCTTGATGGCTGACAGTACAAATGCAATGCTGTCCTTTCTGGACAAGCGGGACACAAGGAAAGCGACCACTGTACTCTGCCAAGACAGGGTAAGATGGTCTTTCAGAAATCCTGCTTCTGAAAATGGTCTGTCAGATACTCTAGGCCTGTAGCCAATTTGAATGCACCAACAATGCTGAGAAACATTAGGTGACTGTCCAGGCTGCCAGCTGTCTTGGTCTACTCTTGCAAGATTCCCAAAAGTTGCTTGCATCCATCTACCATTTCTCAGGTACCATTATGTTCCTTCTCAGGTCTTTGATGTGGTTAAAGACTAGATAGTTGTAATTTCCTCAGTTATGATAAAAGATAAGTTATATATAAAACCTTAAACTCACAAATATAAGATAGATAGGACATCTTCTTTAATATTGTAACTATAATTCTTGCTTGATAATTGCTTTGTTATATGTAATTTTACTATGTTAAAATTAAAACCTTCTTTTTAAAAAAAAGAAGAAAAGGGGAAGTGCTGTGGATATCACTCTATATAAATAAAACACTGATGGCCAGTGACCAGGCAGGAAGTATAGGCAGGACAAAGAGAGAGGAGAATTGGGGAAACAGGAAGAAGGAGGGAGAGACACTGCAGCCACCGACAGGACAAGCAGCATGTAAAGACGCTGGTAAGCCACCAGCCACGTGGCAAGGTATAGATTTATAGAAATGGGTTAATTTAAGATATAAGAACAGTTAGCAAGAAGCCTGCCACGGCCATACAGTTTATAAGTAATATAAGTGTCTGAGTGATTATTTTATACGTGGATTGTGGGACTGCGGGGCTTGGTGGAGGCTGGAGAGAAGCCCTCCAGCAACAGTAACCTGTAAGATGAAATAAACCTTTTCCTCTACAGGTTGCTTTTGAACATGGTATGATCACAGCAATAGCAACCTAACTAAATTAGCATCCTTGCTAAAGATACAGTGGGGTTACAGGAGACATGGGTTGCTCCAATCGGGGAGTTAATTTACAAAATAACTGCTTAGTGAACTTCAGGAGTTTCAAAATCATAAAACACAAGGGGGAAATGTAATTGTTCTTTGCCGAGGGTGACTGAAGAGACTTGGACTGTAACACAGGCTTTCCTGAGTTGTTGAAACACGAATGGACTTGGAAGATTAGATGTTAGTCGGGAATGAATGTCCCCCCCCCCATTTTGATAGTGTTTTACAATTAATTGACATGTCCTGTTTAGAAAAATTTCACACTAACATTTTTGGGTTAATGAGTCATCAAATTGATGATGTACTTTTTTTTTTCCAAGATAGAGTTTTTCTGTGTAGCCCTGGCCATGCTAGAATTTGCTCTGTAGACTAGGCTGACCTGGAACTCAGAGATCTACCTGCTTCTGCCTCCCAAGTTCTGGGATTAAAGGTGTGTGCTATCACCACTTTTAAATTTTAAATGGTTTTTTAGAGAAAATAAGCTTTTTGCAAGGTACTTCCAAATTTTCTGTTGTGACTATAAATGTACAAGTCTCTCTCTCTCTCTCTCTCTCTCTCTCTCTCTCTCTCTCTCTCTCACACACACACACACACACACACACACACACACACACACGGTTAAAGGAGACTGGTCTTAAGTCTGATAGATAGTCAAAAGTAGTGTGTAACTGAGGAGATACACAAGTCCACCAGAGGGTTTCCAAGCATGCGTATTACCCCACCACACCTTACCTAGAGTAAGTCACATTTTCAGCACATCCCCAGGTGCTATCTTGCTGTCTTTCAACTACAAACCCTGTTAATGTAAGGACTGAGCCAGCAGCGCTTGCTCAAATGCCCTAGACAAAGTAGGCCTTCGATGGGCATGTCCCAAACGAGTAGAGAGGGATGGATGTGGTCCAGAAGAGCAGCAGGCCTGTGGAGTCAGGCAGAGCCGATGCCCCTTCCACAATCCCCACACCTCCACTTCTTAGTCCATGTGCCACAGACCCTGTTCATGGATATCACAGCCCAGCTGAGGCAATTCCTAGTCATATGATCTTGGGCAAGTTATCACAGTTTCCTTAACTGTAAAATGGGAACTTTAAAATAGTTTATATATTTTATTGGGATGTGTGACACGTTTTTGTGTTAATTATCTAGACTCAGCTCTCTAAGGAGACACTACCTGTGGGATGGTTTTGAGAATTAAAGGCCACTCAATAAATAAACAATAAATCACACTGGTCATGATTATACTTTATAACAATAATTTCTATGGTCTGATTACACTTCACGAAGTAGGAAAAGTATCCATTTTGTAAAAACAAAAAGTCTAATGTGCTGAAAATCAACAGAGTGATGTATTCAAGATGGGACGGTCCAACTCAGACACAAGCACAGAATCTTTCCAGACCGGAGTCTAGGTCTTTCCCCACATCGCCAAGGCCTCCCCAGATCAAAAGTGGCCTATGTTAAAGAGAGGACACTTTGGGAAAGGTTGCTAGCTAAGCTTTATCCCTTTGATGAAATACCTCTTACAACAGAGGTGCCCAGCATTAGCGCACAGCAGTCATGTGGAAGGTTGGTAAATACAGGAGTTTGCTCCCAGCCCTAGAACTCCTGACCTGGGGAGGAGCCTCGGGACGACAGGAGAGCCATGAGAACCTGCTCACGAGGCAAGGAAACAGTGGGCAGGAGACAGAGCCCCTGTGGTGAAACTGGAGGGTCAGGACAGGACAGCTGTCAGCGGGGACTCAGCAGAGCTGGCACCATGCTGCCCCAAATGAGAAAAGCACCAGCTCACCCGGAGCTCAGCTCTGCCTGTGGCAAGTCGCCTTCCGAGATGAGCGCGCCAACGCCGATCTTCTCCAACCAGAAATGACCACGTGAGCTAGGATACTGTTGAGTAGCTTAGTAACTATCTAAAAAGTAAATCCATAATTTAAAAATTCCCCCGAAAGAAAGCCCCGTGGTTCCCAGAGCTTCACTGGCGTATCCTAGGCTTTTAAAGAACAGCAGAGCTACACAACGCTTCCGGTCGCGGAATCCAGAAGGGAACACTTCCCAGACCTAAAACCAAACCAGGCAAAGGCAGTCCTAGAAAGCGAATAGAAGAAAGAAAAATGGCTGTGGTGATGTAAGTACAGATGTTGTATCTGTAAATACAACGCTTGAGCAGCTGAGGCAGGAGGATTACTACAAGTTTGAGGCCAGCCTCCAGCACAGAGAGACTGTCAGGAAAACTCGGGCTCTATCTCACAAAACAAGATAAAACCAACAACAGGAGGAGTTAGTCGACTGATCTTGGTATAAAATACTATAAAATCTGTGGACCAGCCCCACCCTCAGCTTGGGGTTTCCTCCTGTGATGGAGGAGCTCCTGTATCTAGAGTTTTCCTGCCTTGCCCACAGTCAGGACAAATCTCTCTCACCTGCCAGTCCCACAGCCGCTCAGACCCAACCAAGTAAACACAGAGACTTATATTGCTTACAAACTGTATGGCCGTGGAAGGCTTCTTGCTAACTGTGCTTATATCTTAAATCAACCCATTTCTATAAATCTATACCTTGCCATGTGGCTTACGGGCATCTTCACATGTAGCTGGCAGCTGGCAGTGTCTCCTTCCGCCTTCCTGTTTTCTTTTCTCCTCTCTGTTAGTCCCGCCTATACTTCCTGCCTAGCCACTGGCCAATCAGTGTGTTTTTTTTTTTTTTTTTTTTTTTTGAGACAGGGTTTCTCTGTGTAGCTTTGCGCCTTTCCTGGAACTCACTTGGTAGCCCAGGCTGGCCTCGAACTCACAGAGATCCGCCTGGCTTATTTATTGACTAATCAGAGTAATTTGACAAACAGACCATTCCACAGCAGGCTCCCTTTCCTGTTGGTGCATGTTTCAGCTGCTTCCACTCTCTTCAGTGCTCACCATTTCCGGCTCGTGCCAGCGATTGGTATCCTCTTGTCCTGTTGAGACAGACCTTTGTCAAGGGAGCACACAGGTAGATGAGGTTACCTCAACTTCTGTGCATCCGGGAGGGACACCTGGCCTGCTGTAGTGGTTTAAATAGAAAATGTCCCCCAAAGGCTCAGGTATATGCACACTTGGTCCCCATTTGGTGGCTCTGTTTGGAGCCTTGCTGGAGAAAGCATGTCACCAGAGGCAGGCTTTGAGGGTTTATACTTCCGGTTTACTCTAGGCCACCTTCTGTGTGCACATGGAGATGTGCTCTCTCAGCTCTCTGCTCCAGCTGCCAGGCGGGCTGCTCACTCCCCATCCTCAGGGACCCTTATCCCTCTGGAACTGTAAACCAAGATACGCTTACTTCCATAAGTTGCTTTTGGTCATGGTGTTTTTCTCACAGCAACAGAAAAGTAACTAATACATCTATCTATAAGCAAGCTTGAATGTGCCGGTGAAACTCCTGGAAATCTAAACGAAGTTCCCATTCTGACTGGGATGTCTGGGGTCGGGGGCTCAGTTCCACACTCCTGATGAGTGGTACTACTGGTCTGGAGTCCCCTCTTGGCTGCTCCCCACCCCCCAAAACTTCACTTTCCACTACAGTGAACTGCTTGCTCTCAAACGCCTGTCTGAGGGTCTGCTTCTGGGAGGGTCTTTTTCTGCCTCTTCCTGAATTCCACATTCTTAACAGTAGGAACTGAGGAAGACACCCTCATCTCCAGAGTGAGGGGTTTAGATGCTTCCCACTCAATCATTCTGAAGAGTGCCTCCTTTCTTGAGATTACGTAACTTACAGCTCTCTACTTGGGAAGTTTTCTTGTTCAGTGCACAATCTTTCAAAATGGTCTGGCTCTGCACACTGTTAGTTCCCAAAAGATGTCTCTGGATATAAGTGGACAACTGTGGGGGCTTCCTCCAAATAATGACAGTTTTATACCAGGGAATTTGAGATAGAAAATGTTCCCACATGCAGATCACTGTGAGAGGGAGAAAAAGACCATGCAGGAAAACAAAAGGAGAAATTTCATGCTATTGAGGGGAAAATTAGGGCTGGAGAGATGGCTCAGCAGTTAAGAGCACTGACTGCTCTTCCAGAGGTCCTGAGTTCAATTCCCAGCACCCACATGGTGGCTCACAACTACCTATAATAAGATCTGGTGCCCTCTTCTGGCCTGCAGGGACACATGCAGGCAGAATACTGTATACATAATAAATAAATCTTTTAAAGAGAGAGAGAGAGAGAGAGAGAGAGAGAGAGAGAGAGAGAGAGAGAGAGAGAGAGAGAGAGAGAGAGAGAGAGAGAGAGAGAGAGAGAGGAAAATTAGTGTGACTCCAACAAAAAGAGATGGAACTGTAATCAAGCCACCCAAACCAGAGGTGACCGAGATAAGGAGACACACGAGTGAGTTTGTATATTTTGTCTATTCCTTGGTGAAATATCTCTAGATAGACATATACAAACGCATGTTGTCTCATTTCAAATCATGTCTTTGGAAAATGTCTTCTTATACCCAAGCTGAAACGTTTATGAAATGTCTAAAGTGGATAAAAACTCAACTATGTGAAAGCACACGATTCAATACCACCATTTTAGTTCTCACTTTTTATTCAAAGGAACGCACCTTGGGTCACAGATGCTTTACTTCTAATACTTTAATTAATTTTCCTAAGCATCTACAAATAAAAACCCACTCTGTTATTGCTGTGTAACAAATGAGCCCACATACCACAGTGGCACCCACGTAAAAACACTAATGTCTCATCCCTAAGTCTGCTGGTGGCCCTGTTTGAAGGCTGCGGGTTTGGGGGACCACCAGCACCGTGACTAAAATGTGTGAATCCAGTCAAATGCTGACCGGTCATTAGTGGGGTGTAGACGCTCCTTATGGCAAAAGTCAGATGTTCCTGGGGGTACAAGGGGAAATCTGATACACTTCTACCTTCCCACTTCCCATCCCCAGACAAATCACATGACCAAGTCCAACATCAATGAAAACCTCCCATAGAGCTATCAGTAGATGGAGTGAAGACATGCTGAAAAGTCCCTGAACCCACTAATTTCGAAATGATGAGGCTGTCATTACAGAAGATAGATAAAAAGGTATTAAGAACTTCCCAGGCACTTTCCAAAGGGGATTTTCACACATCATATGGACACAATCACGTTGCCATTGAATAACTGTGTGACTGTGAAAAAGGATCATCTTGGATACAACAGCTTTAATTGGTTTTAAAGTCACTTTAGGAGCCTGGGAATGTGACTCATTTGGTATGTATGGTGTGGGGGCCATAGGTTCACTCCCCCAGCACATCAGAAATAGGGAATAGTGACACTTGCCTGTAATCTCATTCTGGGAGGTAAGGCAGAAAAGTTCAAATCCAGCCCGGGCTACACAAGACCCCCTTTTTTAAAAGCCATTTTTAATTGCGTCACACCTCTTACAAAACCAAACGTAATGCTTGCCTAACTGAAGACATTCCATTTTTATTTTGTGCTTATATAGTCTGAACCTAACCAGATACAAAGGCTCCTAAAGTCTGTCAAGTCAATGCCTCTTTTTTCTCTTTGTTTAAGTATGTATGTGCCTAAAGGGGAAGCAAAACACCCAGGCTCAGGGCTGGAGAGATGGATCACTGATCAACAGCTGGTATTGCTCTTCCAGAGGTTTGGCTCTCAGCTCTGACATCAGGCGGCTCACCACTGCCTGTGATTCCAGCTCCAAGGTGATCCCGTCCCTCCAAGCCTAGGGGTTCTGAGGACCTGCACTCAGGTGCGCGTACACACACACACACACACACACACACACACACACACACACACACACACACATGAACGTGCATACATACACCTAATTTAAAGTAATACAGATGAAATCTTTAAACCCCCAGGCTCTCCTTGTTGATGCTCCGAGGCTGGGCTTAGTGGCCAGAGTCCTAACGCTGAAAGCGAAGCACCATTCCCTGGATTCAGTGAGGTCCCAAGAAGGACAGGAGGTCTGGCTTCCAGCCAATTGGTCCTGATGTCTTAGCTCACCTCTCCAGGCCTCCACCACTTCATCCACAAGTGTGCTCCCCAGGGCAGCCATCCATGGGTCCAGGGGCCACAGGAGGGTTTTGATGCGGTTTCCCTGATAGGAACTGCCTTGTAAAGCCCGTGGCCGAAGCTCTACGAAGCATACCGTAGGTTGTTGCCTCTGAGTGCGGGCCTCAAGTTCATACACAGTGTCCTAGATTCGTCTCCAATGAAGATACTGAAGAAGGCATCTTTAGGGACTTGTGGGGACCATTGGTAACAATGTGACAGTTTCTGATCTTGTATTTTCTAGATAAAACTCAAGGGTGTTGCCTTCTCTAGTTGGGTGCTCTGATATACCCACACACACCAGCTTCCCATGACTTCGTGTTTTTCGTTTGTTTGGCAGTGGAATCAATTTCCTAACAAAATGATTTTTGGAGCCACTACAATGTCCTAAGAATTAGAAGGTAGAGTTTGAACAAAGGCTTGAAGTGTTGCAATTCCTAGCAGGAAAAAAAAAAAAAAAACAAAGGGCCAACTACCAAACCGACTAAGCAATAAAGCCCAGGAGCCCAGCAAAGGCTCGGCCCTCTCTGGAGAGCATGCAATCCCTTGTCATGCGCCCTCCTCTGCCTAGGACTTCAGCCGGTGACCGCTGTCCTGCATTCTAGAGAACACCAGTCGCCCTGGTTTCAGAGCTGAGGCAGTGCTCCCGGATCTGCCCCGGGAAGAGGCCAGCGTCCTCCCTGGCCCTCCTCGCTGCAGTCCCCGGGTGACTCGTGGGACCCTGACCTCTCACCTCCTGAGCACCTGGCGGCTGCAGCGGGCGGCGCCCTTTGGAGCGGGGGCGGGCCCCGGGGGAGCGGGATGGCCTGGCGCTGGCCCCCAGCGCTCGGCTCTCTCCGCCGCTGCCGGGACGATGGAAGCGATGGTGGCGCCCGGCGAGGTGCTCATGAGCCAGGCCATCCAGCCGGCGCACGCCGACTCCCGCGGGGAGCTGAGCGCCGGGCAGCTGCTCAAGTGGATGGACACCACCGCCTGCCTGGCGGGTAAGCGCGCGGCCCAGGCGAGGGCACCGTCGGGCAGGGCGGGTGGCGGCCAGGGCGGCCAGAGACGGTGATGGCGTCTGGGGATCCTGGAAGACAGGAGTCTGGATCTGGCGATGCGCTAGGCTGGCGTGGAAGCCTGAGATAGCTTGGGAGAAGGAAGCCAAGGGGAAGGGCAATGTTCCCAAGAGCTGAGAGCAGGAGAGCTGTAGAGACAGAAGTGATGTCTGAGACAGCTACTGACAGCGACCTAGACCAGTGGTCCTCGGATGTTTACTTCACAGGACTCCCTTCTGACACACAAACTAGTGAAGACCCCCCTAGAAGACTGTTATATAGATTGCTTGTATCTCTACTTGACTATATTTTAAAAATCGACAGATTGAGTTCATTGGCCAAGCAAAACTGAGGCTAGAAAAAGTGCTCACACTGCAAGCACGAACTTTTCACCCGCGTGCATGCGTGCCTGTGTGTGTGTATATATATGCACACACAGCACGCACATGCGTACTTGCATACGTTAACACATTTTCTTGACAAACAACTAGATTATTTACTGCAACAACGGAAGTGTTCTTACAGAACTGGTCACAGTTCATGCTTTCTCGAGTGAGCTAAATGTTTCCTTAGTACAAAACGGCTCCTTTACCAGATTCCCTTCTCTGTTCTGTTTACTGCCATCAACTGGTAGGCGGTCAGGGAACACTTGACCATATTCTTTTTTTTTTTTTGTTTGTTTGTTTGTTTTTTGAGACAGGGTTTCTCTGTGTAGCTTTGCGCCTTTCCTGGAACTCACTTCGTAGCCCAGGCTGGCCTCGAACTCACAGAGATCCACCTGCCTCTGCCTCCCGAGTGCTGGGATTAAAGGCGTGCACCACCACTGCCCGGCTGACCATATTCTTGAGAGAGGATGAGAGTGAACACATCAAGGAGAAGGTCTGGGGGTGTAGTCCAGTTGTGAAGGGCTTGTCCGGCTTGCATGAAGCCCTTGAGTTCCATCCCCAGTGAGGGTGGTGATAAAAACATCTACTGTGGACCTAATGGTGTCTCTCTCCATGCCACCCCCAAAGTTTGTGTTTTGGAAGTGACAATTGAAAGTGAGTAATCAAGGTTGGCGAGATGATAAGGGCACATCCTGATCCCGCAGGACAATGTCTTGGAGCTTAGAACAACTGAGGCTACAGCAAGAGCCATCTGCAAATCAGGAAGAGAGCTCTTGCCTTTCTAAAGTGACAGGTGTGGACCCTATAGCCTTCAGAAGTGTGAAGAACTAAATGTCTATTGTCCAGTCCACCCAGTCCGTAGTCTCATGTGATGATCACCCCAGGAAAAGCAGTCTCTCACCATTGCTACACTTAGGCTATGACTTTGATTTCCTTACACTGAGGGGTGGAAACTCTGCTTTTGAAAACACTGGGTTATAATAGAAATGGGTTTTCTAACTGAGAGTCTTCTAAGTGAGAGCCTTCAAAGGTGGCTGTTGGGCAGTACTTTCGAAACTATACACATGCTGACTTCTCTCATCTTCAGACCAGTGACAGATACAGTCTTGGATACAAGTCAGCCTTACTGTGCCTCCCTCCTGAGGAAATGCCTTTGGTGTCCTAGTGGTATCTTGCTTCCCTGGGATCTGTTATCTATACACAGTGAACGTTAAGTACATGAATCATATCACCGACTCCCACTCACCTCCCCCAGCTTAGGACCGCTCAGATTTTCCCATCATCCTTGAAGTAAAACCCAAACTTTCTTCATTCTTCACAGATGCTTTTTGCAGCTGAAAACTCATTCTCTGAGGGGCCAGACAGACAGATATGAATTGATTCTGAACCTAGCTCAGAACATCAGACTGATTGGCTATGGGATGTTCTGACAGAGGGCCTTGACATTAAGAATAAGTGTAACATTTTGTTCCCCATACAATGTAGTATGGTAACCCTCTCCCCTCCAGACTGTCTGATACCAGCAATGGCAGCCTTCTGGCATTTTTCTTGTATGTACAAAGCTTTTCTCTCTAAGGAACGTCACACCTGCTCTTTTCTTGGCCATTTCCATGCCTTGTCCCTCAGCTTCAACATCCTTTTCCCCTTTCCCCAGAGTCCCTAAGTCTCTTAAGTCAAGCCCCTGTGCTGGATCTCCATTACCACAGCCTAGTCCCAGCTTTGGGGAAATGTATGTTCAGATGACAAAGTAGACCTGGGGTGGGAGAGGCTTTACATGCCTTGTGTTCTAGACACATCCCTTAAGCTGTGTGTGGCAGAAGTAAAGCTCAGAATATTATAAACCCACTTTTTGTGATAGAGTAACACAGTACTAATCCCTGTGTGTTAACCACCTGTAAAACTCAGCTGTATTTTCAATGACAATTCATTTGTTTTATTTGCTGATTTGTTTGGCTTCTGTCTTAACAGTTTCTAACAAGATTTGAATTGGATTACAACGTAACAAGGAATCAGAAATAATGAAGTTTACCCACATGTAAACAAAAGAAACAAGTATAGACAGGATTGGCATTGCTGATAATAATGATGCCTATTTCCAAGGCAACTAAATGCAATTGGCAGAAAAGGGTCTAGTTTGACCTTTTTGGAGACTTGGACCATAGGAAGACTGTAGATGATCAATTTACACTATGCTTTAGTAATTATATTGCTATCGGTGCCTTCATAACTGGTAATGTTAATATTACAAATGCTAAAGAATCCTTAGATAAAGTTGGCTTGTGAAATACAGATAATGGCCATTTCTATGGAAATAAGAGACACCACATAAGAGGGGACATTACTCAAGTAAGATGTGAATGAATCTGAAAAATAACACAAAAGCCAATTTTTTAACATTGTTTCAACCAGAGTTCCCTTGACTAGTGCTCTGTATAGTTATGTTTCCTAAGGTAAATAATGACCATAGTCATGTCCCAAGACGCGGCTGTAACCCTCAAGCACTGCTGGATTCCAACACAACTTCTCAATATTTAAAGAAAAATCGAACAGCTCCAATCACATTAGCATTCGGCCCCATAGCTGTGGGTGGGCCCTCCTCTTTCAGCCCTTCAAACCTGAAGCCTGAAACCATCTCTGAGTCATCCTCCACCCACCCCATGTCTGTTTCTGTTTTTGAACTCTCTCAAGACCACAATTCCTTTCCATGTCATCTGAATGTTCACTTCTAAAGAGTGTCACCACACTCATCCAACCATGTGGTTAGAAATCTGGGACTGAGCCCTGACATGCTATCCACATTGCTTCCTTCTCCACACATTCAATAGATAATAACCCTTTCCTTTTTGGGTGTACTGACGCTTCCTTCTGGAGGAATCTTTTAATCCCAGCCCCATGCTGAGCCTCCACACCACTGCCTAGACCCAGCCCCACCACCCTGCGTTGTGGGCTTCAGGGGGCTCTGAAACTGTTTCCTTTATCCTGGTTTCATCTTAATAATGCATCTAAAGGACATCCGGAAATAGCTGATCTCATCATGTCAGATTTTTTTTTTTCATCTTTATCCTTCATCTCTTTACTAAAACGCTAAAGCCTGGACAAGTACTTCCTACCAAAAAGCCTTCCCCTATAGATAACAACTATTAGCTTTGGACAAACAGCAAATTAAGGTAGATTAAGGCAGTTGAGAAGTGAACAGAAGTGTTTGGAACACTTGAAAGTTACACTCGAAGAGAATGGAAATGGTCTAACTTTTCTTTTGTCTTAAATCTTTTTTATTTAGTTTTATGAGGTGTGTGTGTGTGTGTGTGTGTGTGTGTGTGTGTGTGTGTGTGTGTGGTGGGGGTGGGATGTTTAATAATATTACAGATGAGAGATCACTCCACCAATTCTCTCCCAGTTAAATTTTCAATTAGAAATCTACAGGTTTGTCAGTTTGGACATCCAAAGGACATTATTGGAGGAAAGCACATCCACTGGAATGTGAAGAGAGATGTTTTCAGAAAAGAGAAAGTCAGGAAGGCAAAGCACCCTGATTGTAACCCTTGACCAGGTATCTGGCACACTTTGAATTCTGTGTGTATAGGACAAACTCCAAACCTCTTGTAAAGACCAAAGAAAGTGAAGGAGCCGTCTCTACCTCTAAAGAGACAGGGTTCATAGTTTGGACTTAGTAAACAGAACTGCTTGCTTTTTCAAGAAAACACCAAAAGCAAAACTAGTCCTTTTCAAAGAGCTCATCGGAACCCACTGTCTCAACAACAAATCAACAAAGGCTCAGAGATAATAAAAAGCACTTACACACAAATAAGCAGGCAAACATGACTCACTCTTCAAAGATGATCAATAAATACCAACCTATAGATGACATGGATGCTAGAATTAAAATTCAAGGACTTAATGTAGCTATTGGAGTTATACTCAAGGAAATTGATAATAATATTGTAAAGAGCAAAAAGGCAATAAACCTCAAAAAGAGAAATAGAGAGTGTTTTATGAGGGCAACATGGAAACTCAATGGTTTAAAACAATAACATCTAAATTTAAAATATGCTAGATAGCCTTAACTACAGAATGAAGATGGCTGAGAAAAAAGTTAGCAAGTGTAAAAAATATATCAATATAAATTATCTAATTTTGCAAAAAAAAAAAAATGAGGTTATGGTCCAATGCTATAGCATGCTTGCCTAGCATGCATAAAGTCAGAATTAAATCCCCAGCATTACACACACATACACAAAGTCTCACACAGTCATGAAAAACAAAAAACAAAATATAAAGTCCCCCAAAGGAGAAAGTAAGAGGAACTCACCTCTATTCAGAAAATAATAGCTTTAAGTTCCCAAAACATGCTGAAAAGCATACAGTTAAAGTCAAGAATCCATAGAACACCAAACAAGATTAATTTAAAAATTATCGTATGTAAGCATATCATAATCAGATATGTTTAAGAGGGTCTCAAAAGCAGCCAGAAAGGCAGTGCTCAGTGTAGGAGAGCAGTGGTTAAAATTACCACCAACCTCATTGGTAACAGCAGAGACCTGGTTGGACCAAGTACATTAGAGTTTACAACCAAATGGTCAGAGCAGAGATAAAATGACAGTGAACGATATCTAATAATAACAGTTCTAAAATGATGACAAGCAAGAGCCTCCAGGCCTTCCAGCTCCATCCAGCCCTCCTCCTCGCTGTCTCCGCTCTCACCACAGAAGCCTTCCTCACACTCACTGGAATCACCGTTCTGTCTGCTCGGCAACCTTCCTTTCCACTCTTCTCTCCAATCTATTCCACTCCAGCTCATCCTTCAAAAACCCTCTCTCTGGACACCTTTGCGGATTCTATAATTGCTCAGCTAGTCTGCTTCCAAATTTCCCTAGGCAATCAATAATAGCTCTAAGTTTTTCTACCGTATGAAAGTGTGAAGGGCAATCAACATGTAAGGACCTTTTGAATTCATATCATCTACCCGGCACACTTGTGAAATGAAGACAAGACCATGTACAATCACGTGCAAGAGTGAGGGACCTTATGTCGACCTCTCCTATTTTTATCTTTTCTTTTTTATTGGTTCCTGCAGGTTTGTAGCAGAAAGTATTAGCTGTTGGGGTCCACATTCAGTGAGGCACACTGAGTTTCCTCAGCTTCATCTACCCAATTCTCTTCTACAATTCTTATTTCTTGTAATCAAAAAAAAAAAAAAACTAGAACAATCATTTGAATCTTTCTAGGATTGGATGTCTTCATTTAAAGATGGAGCCAATGACAGGACTAGCCTCCATGCTTAGTGCATGGCCAATGAGAAATACTTAGTAAGTAAGACTGCTGCTGAGTCTCCCTGGTCCCTCATACAGTCTAGCCCTGTGCTTTATAAGCATAGCACTCACTCAGAAAATGCAGTACAGCTCTTACTGGTTACTACGTTTAAATTACTTCAATCACTTAAAGTTGGCAAATCACATTGGTGTGCATAACCATACTTTATTAATAAGAACACTTTAAGTTAACAGCCTGTCTCTTCGTGGACTGAGTGTCTACTAGGCATGCTTTGGTCAATGTTTTGTAGCTTGTTGTTGAGAACATTTAGTACTTCTCTGGAAAACGTCAGCTCTAAGGAGATGGACTCAGAATGGATCTGTGATGGCCCCTGAGCAGATAGGTTAAGAAAAAAAAAAAAAAGACACTGATCCTGCTCAACACCTGGAAATCAGCCAAGCATGCCTCACATGCCACACTGGCTTCAGCTGAGCCCACCCTGCGCAGGCCTGAGTTGGACACCTCCATCTCCCCATCTTTCTGCTGGATTGTTTTGTAACTAACAAGCCTCCTCCCTGCCCATTGCTATCACGTAGAGTTCCAAAAATGATTAATTTCTCACCTCTCTTTACCTGAGATGATCAATTAATACTTACATTGTCATCTATTACATAAGAATTTGGGGGTGGTGGGGATCAGAGTCTGGAGGTCAGCTTGGGTCACTGCAAAGTGAATTCCTGGTCAACATATATGTTAGCTGCCTCAAAAAAAAGGTCGATGAAAATCTGTTTGGATTTTGACAGAATGCCTCTCAAAAACAAAGCTGGGAGAAACATACATCAAAATCTTTTCCAATAGCATAAATTCTGGTATTTTTATGTTAAGCAAAAGCAATCATCAAAACAGTTCTGGACAAATTAAGTGCAGACATGGGCCACGGAACATGGTGCGCTCCTCTTCACCATCGCCCCACGCCTTAGCCACACTCTCCTACAACACCGTAATGCATGAAGAATTGGTGTCAGTTTGGTGATAATAAATGATGAGCACAGCCTGCCTGCCTCCTGTGTGTCCTCTGATTCCCAGGGACATTCCCCTCTGATGTGAGAGGTGATCTCAGGGGCTCCCAAACTCCTCCATACCCACAGTCATTCATGATTTAATTATATCCATATTTAAATATATGAGACAGTGGCTGTAGCTTTAATGTTTACTTATAAGACAAAAGAACCATAATACGTGATAGTAATATAACAATATTTAGAGTTATCAAAAACTTATAAAATTGTTACTTACAGTTGCCAGGTTTCCAGAGTATTGGTTTTAAAGTTCAAATAAGAGATTTCTAAGTTAAAATTCAGGAGAAAGTACAGTAATCATCATACGATACAGAGCAAAGGCCTGCTTGTAAATACACATCGTCTTGAGTATGTGAGGACCAGGGTGCTGTAACGAGTGAGGGGATGTGTTCCTAAAACAAATATACTTCAATGTGTTCCTTTTTCCCTTTGCTAAAACATTTAATCACAGCCACTAACATGGCATGCTTTCACCTGTTTTTTGAAGCTGAAAAACATGCCGGGATCTCGTGCGTCACAGCCTCCATGGATGACATTCTGTTTGAGGACACAGCTAGGTAAGGAGTGTTGCTCTTTCCACTTCCTGGGGACTTACCGGTTCCTTTACAATACATGTTTATTGCACCTTGTTCACTTGGAGCCAATGGTCGTGTTTCTTAAAAAAAACGAGAAGCACTGGACCTTCTCTAAATCAGCTAAAACAAACAAAACAAAACAAAAACAAAAACAACAAACAAACAAACAAACAAAAAACCCATCCTGGTGTCTACTTGTCCTCACTCTTCTCAGTACAAGTTCAGTCTCAGTTTTGTTAAGTCACTGTCAGCATTAGAGGCATGGTAGTGCCGTGCATGGCACGCTTTCTATCATCTCGTCTTTAATGGCTGTTTTTCCTGCATGACAGATGATAATGACAATAAGGGTCTCTGTGTTGGTGCGGTACAAACACTAGCTCCTGTGTGTACACAAAGTAAGTTTTAAGGAACATTTTATATGTGAGAATGTTGATGCTTTAGCGGCCCTTTTGGAGAGAACTTCAAGCCAGACAGTAAAACTAGAAAGAATAGTGTGGTGTATCACATGAACTCGTCGCTAACCTGTAAGAAGGATCAGCTCACATCTGTTCTTATTCCTATGTGGTCTTTCCCATCTGGGAATTATTCTGAAGCAATACCAGTCATGATTTGTAAATAATTCAGTAAATACTCATAAATACCAAGGTCCCTCTTAAAAACATCACATAGCCACAACCACTGCATTTGAAGTTACTAAAAGAACTCTCTTCCAGATGGGTTGAACTACCATGTGGACTGAGTCCAGTCCAGCTGCTTTCTGTGTTTGAAGATGGCATTTTAATTTTGTTGTATCTGATTTGCCGTTCAAAACGTTTACAAGCAGGAAGCTCAAATGTGGGGAAAGCATTTCACTCTGGGAAACTTAGTTTCTATCGCACTGCTTCTGAGGCTTCCTCCTCTCTCTTAAGTATCTACCTTTTTACCCGAGAATTACCCCTTTACATTAAAATATAAGTGAGAGTTTGTCCATATTCCTTAAAAAATAAATTCCAATATGTGGTGTCACTTTGCCCACCTGTTCCATGTGAGAGTCCACCCATAAAACCATCCGGTGCAATGCACACAGCTGTTATCATGTTTACTTTCATATTCACTGGAGAGCTCCCTAATTCAATTGGTCATCGTTACTAAACACTGAATTGCTTTTGCTATCACAGATACTTAAATATATGGACTTATGTGGTGTGTATTCATATTTTTGCTAGTGTATTTTGGGCCTGGATCCCTGAAAACAGAACTGCTTGGTCAAAATGCAAATGCACAGGCCATTTTAGTCAACATTGCCTAAGTCCTCTCTCTGAAGGGTTTTGTATGACTTTTATTACTTTTTAGATTAGTTAGATGAATCTAAACATTAAGAAAAGCATTACTAAAATACTGATTTGTTCAGACTTCCAACACAAGACTTACTTGTTTAAAGACATATATCTATGTACATAATGTAAATTCCTTCCTTTACTTCTTGTTTTCCGGCCTGGATTGTTACAGTTATGAGAGACCCAGTATATAGGGCCTCAGTATGTGCACAAAGTCAATTAGTAGATACGGCCATTCTTCCAGGAAAACCGACTGACTTACCCCATAGACTATCCTTACTATATCTGCATGAGCCTCTCCACTGTGATTAAAGCAGAGCTAATTGCTAGCCTTTCTAGGAGCCCAAAAACGTCCATGTTTCCACGGCTTTGACTTTGAACTCAGATAAGACCAGGGTTTGAACTCTGGCCCAGCTAGCTGCTGGCTATATCACCATTTAAGCCCAATTTCTGTTGAGAGTAAAACGAGAATCATCGTGTTAACCTCACAGGATTATTGCTGGGCGAGTGGCATGCTGTTCCCTATGACTCAAAGCAACTTGGCATGCTGCCTTGGTCTGTGCACAGCATTCATTTTGTCACTGATGTGGCCGCACCGAGGAGCAGCACCTTCGCTGAATGACAAAGGCTTCTGTTGGGAAGTTTCAGCCATTCCTTTGTATGCCCGTGGACTTGGTGTGTTTGTATACCTGTGCCCCCAAGTAAACCTTGTTTTATCGAGCTCAGCAGCCCTGACTTGTTGACTACACCTTAGTTCTAGCAGCACCACTAGTCAAAGCTCAGTGAGCAGTGTGAATTAGAAAGACCGGTGGCTCTTCCAGGAAGGTTGGCTAAGCAAAGAAACTAGGAAGGAAAGCAAGATTTTAGAAGGAGAAACCTTCGATATTTTTATAAAATGTCGGACGAAAGTGAGAGGTGGAGAGTTGAGAGAGGAAAGGGTTAACAGCACAGCCCAGAGGGAGAGGAGGTGATGGGGTGGGGTAGGGCCAAGGTGATGGGGTGGGGTAGAGAGGGAGCCGTGAGGAAGTGGTCAAATAGAGTCAGGTGGGATGGGGGAACAAAAGGCGCCCTTGTTGGGCAGCTCTTAATGTCCACTAAGATGAAGGGACCAGTGACCCAAAGTCTTGACCTCAACGTTTTCAGAGTTCTAATAGCAGTGGGGAGGCGGGGGG